CTATTCATGGTACCACTTTCACCTTAGCCCGAAGCACCATCATCTCTCTCCTAACTATTGCAATGACCTCCTAGCATTCTTTTTATGTATATTTTGATTTCTATTTCCAATATTCTCCAAACTGTAGCCAGTGTTTTCTCAAACCCAAACCTATTTTTAAAACTCAGATTTTATCATGTCACACTTACGGCTTAAAAACCTTCCATGAATTCTCCTTTATCCTTAAATATACTCAAAAAATAGCATAGACTATAAGATCTACATAGATATGGCTCTTATCCACTTTTGCAATGATACCCACTATCCTGTGAACTCTGCTTGTTATTCCGTTTTCTTGCTATGCCATGCTCCTTTCTGCCACAGGATCTTTGCACATGCTTTTCCCTTTCCCTGAAATGTCTTCCTCCTTTATATAGGTAATGCCAACTAATCTTCATATCTCAGCTCAATGTGACTTCTGCAGGGAAGCCTTTCATCCACCCCAAAGACTAGTTTACTTCTTTTTACTATAACTTCTAATAGCAATTTTTTGCTTTTCCTTCATTGAGCTTTCACAATTGTAATTTTATTCTTATTTGTATGATCATCTAAACTATATATGTACCCTCTACTAAATTCCATAACAATAGGGAATGTCTGTTTTTTGCTTACTGTTGTGTTTCCTTGGTCTAGCACATAGAAGCCAGCCAATAAATATTAGTTGAATGAATGAATGAATGAATGGACAAATGAATTCAAAGTAGTATTGTATCAGATAAGTGCCATATTAAATGATACAAACATTTGATCTGAGTGGGAAAGCTCAGGCATGGGCAGCACAGTCTTGCTGAGGAGGTGACTTCTTGTATCCTTAGGCGAGAACATCTGGAGAGGAGGACAAAAGTTTTGGTCTCCTAGCTGCTGCTGACAAGCTGCTCCACTGGATTCAGGAAAAAACCTTAGAGAGCTTATGATCTGATGAGGTGACAAGCATTGCCATAGAGCCAATAGCCAGGGGAGAAGTAATGAGAGCTTTTTAACACCACGGCTCTTAAATGGCTGTTCCAGACTATGGACAGACAAGCAGCTGGATCTTTGCAAAAATCTTCAGAGGGAAAGTCATTGTCTATGGAGCAGATATTAAAAGGAGTGAAAATGTCAGTCAAATTAGGTATTTAATATATTAGATATCTTAAGACTTCTATCTTTCCTTTTCTATTATGGTTTAAAGGTATTATATAAATAAGAATATAAAAATGAAGCCAGCAATGTGATACTAGAAAACAACTATAGGTTTTCACATTTGTGTGTACCCTCATTTAGTTTTGTGATCTTGGAAAGTTAGTTAGCCTATGCAAGCTTCAGTTTCCCAATGAAACAGTTTGTATTTCGGTGAGGAAGTGGAAACATAATGATCTTCTTGAAGACAGAATGCAATACTATGGTCTACTTCCTCCGTCTTGAAACATCTTCTTCCCTTAACTTCTGAGATACTCTCATGGGAGAGTCACCGGGGATTCAATGAGCTCAAGTGCTTCTGTGGCACCCATCACTTAAGTACTTACTAAACAATCATTCACAACTGCCGTGTTAGTAAAGAGCTATATGTTTCAGAAAGTGGCAGATTTTGTCAATTACCTAAACATGTTAAAAGAACCTACTACACGTGTGATAAAGTGGAAGGAAGATTGAACTGCCTCCTCGCTGTGTCTCTGCACTTATTAGAAATGTGATACTAAGGGAGGCCTTTCTGGACCTCCCTATAGCAGGGCATTATCTGGCAGACAGGGGCTGATGATAGTTGATGGCTCCACAGAGATAACTTTCGCTCATCAAAAGGGACAGATGAGTGATTTAGTGATGTCCAGTGTCTCAGTGACCTAGGTGCTATGTTATTACCACTTTGGAGAGAGCCCAAAACTGATGGCTGAAATGTAATATTATTTTTAAAAT